TTGCATTTGAATTTTGAAAAGTTGAATTTTTTATATGCTGAATTTTTTTACACTGAAAATTTAAACAGTGAAAAATATGTATATTGAAAATTTGATCACTTTGAAATAGGAATGTGATTTTTTTTAATAACTGAAAATTGCAACCATGTAAAAAAAATTACACTGAATTTTTTTTATGTACAAATAATGACATTGAATTTTTTTTAGGTTAAAAATATATTCTGAATTTATTTTAATACTGAAAAAGTAAGCACTACAACATTCAAATTTCAGAGGTATTTTTTATTCAAATTCTGATGGCACATATTTACTTCCATAGGAACCTGACATCTCCTACTCCTAAACCACGCTGCTGAACAATCTTTATTTTCAGATCATTTGAGAGTTGTTTTAGGGCTCCCATTCAGTTTGCCACCTTTATGTGAAGCTAAAGGGTCCAAGAGCTTAGCAGACAAATGTTCTATTCCAGTAATTAGTGCTAAAGATATTTAAATCAATAAAATAAGATTGTGCCCAAATATGGGGTCCAGTTTGTAAAGTTACACATTTGTGTATGTGGTGCTGTGGGTAAAATTAAGGAGTGAAAAAATTAGGAGCATTATCTATGATTATTTAGCGTATTTTAAGAGAAAAATAAGGGGGTTATTTTTTCAAATTCATTTTTTAACAATTTTTTCACATTTACTTATAAAAATCAAAGTTCCAAACTCAATATTTAGATTGTTAGTTAGAAAAAAATTGTCAAAAAGCTAAATATTTCTTTTTCTGAATAAACACTTCGTTTGTTAAATAAATATTTAGTTTGAAGCTAAATATTTATTTAACAAACTGAATATTATGGTTTGGAAAATGACTATTTGGTTTGGAACTTAGATTTTTATAAATGAACGAATGACTTAATGCAAAAAAAATTTCTCTTTAAACACGCTAAATAACCATAAATATTGCTCCTAATTTTTCACTCCTTAACTTTACAAACGGCACCCCATGCACAAATGTATGCGCCTGCCTTTATTCATTAGAATAATTACTGTGAACTTTCTGTAAATCCATCCATCCATCCCATCCATCCCATCCATCCATCCATCCATCCATCCATCCATCCATCCATCC